AGCCGTGAAAACAACTGATTTCAAGTAGCCGTGAAAACAACTGATTTCTTTTAAAAATAATGTAATCGTATTTACAAATATTGAAAAATTAAAAAAAAATAAAAAAATTAAAATTAAAAAAATTAAAAATATTTAAAAATAAAAATTTTTAATTTAAGAAATAATTAAGAAAGAGGGATGCCAAGCGGATTCTAAATTACGATTTTTGAACATAAAAGTGGCTATAACTCGGAAACGGCTCATTTCCGGACCTATGTTTGTATGAACTTTTTTGCTTGTTTTTGGGTCCCGAATCACTTTCCGAAGTGGAGTAGGCGATTTTTCGGACACCCTGTATATATATATATATATGTTGTGACGTTGCTGTTTCGCTGCAGCGTTGCAGCGTCCTGCCGCCGTCACAAGGCGCGGGTTTCGCGACCTTTTGGTGCCCGCGTTGCGTTATTCTAATCCCTTTTATTTTTTATTATTATGTACTATTTGCGCGGCACCTCACCGCGTCGAGAACCGGAGTTTCTGAAGGAATAAAGAGGATTTCGAGAAAGAGGAGTCGACAATAGGGATAGAGGCGAGAAACCAGAGGACGGCAACCAAATCTTGGTGATGCTTGCGGGCCGTCGAGCGCAGGAGAGCGCGAGAGGACACGCGCGCGGCGCGACACAGCGACGGGCAGATCCGTAAGGGCAGGGCCCCGGGACGCCACGCCGGGGCACAATCAGTTCACCTGTACTCCTCACACTACTGACCGGATTCCGGGGTGGATGTACACCACTCCCGGACCGAAAGGGAGGAATACGGAGGCAATCACGTCCCGTCCGCTGCCGGGGAGAATCCGGGGAAAAATCGCCGCACGAACCAAGGGCCGTAAGGCGCCCTGCGAGAGACTGTGATTAACGGCCCTACGCCAGAATCCGCCGCGAGCCTGCGAGCTCACCCTTGATTAGTCCGCGCTATAGCCTCGCGGGGCCGCGTACGCCCGTGGGGCGCGCTATCGATTCCGCCATCGAGCGAAATTTCGGTGGTATTCTTGTATCGTCCTCGAGAGCCAACGCACGCATAAGTCAGTAGCGGTAATTCCGCAGTCACATTTTGAGCCTCGTATTTCGACACTCCGAGTCTTGGCGACTACCTCCGTTCCTTGGGACGACGGCGAAGGATCCTCTGGAGAGTACTGACCTACGGTGAGGTTGCCTCGCGTAACGATTATCATGTAAAGCCACGACACCGCTCCCCGGGCCGCGCTCTCACTCGGGAATGTTCGCGATAATCAGCGTATTCGCCGACAAGGCATATTTAGCGATCGTTGGCGAGAGCGAAGGACTCCGGAATGGTCTCGTGGCCGTGGAACCGCGACCGGAATTATGAGCTCCTGGAGATCACAGTAGGCGCGTCAATGACGATGTTCGATATCGCGAGTACGCCATATGTCTCATGCCCTTCGCGCCTCGTTGTGCGTAGCAATTCACCCGGCCGAGTATTAATCGCGTGACAGTATTAATTGCGTCAGACGGTTGTTCGCGCTGGTTTAATTACGTTACTCGCGATTCGCGTCCAGACACTTAGATTATCTACGCGGTATCGGTTGTGCCGAGATATTATTCCCGTAATTGCGTCCTGATGCTACCGGCCTTGCCGTATTGTTCGCGCCTAAGTCTTGCTTTCGAGCATTTGCGTAGGATAATAACCGCGTGAGAGTGTCGTCCGCGTCAAGTTATCTGCGTGAGAATATTGTTTGTGCCGATTGACTTCGGGCGTTAGGATGTTATTCGCGGTATGAATGACGGTAAAATACGGTTCACCCTGACTGATTAATTATGTCCAGGATACTCTTTGCGTACATCAAGAAGATCATTCGCGTTAGATTAAGATCATTAGCATTCGCGTTAGATTAAAAAAATTATCCGCATTAGATTAAGATTATTATTCGCGCTAGATTAAGATTATTATCCGCGGTCGACTACGATTATTCCTTGCGTTAGATTAAGATTATTAGCGACAAAATCTCTGCACGGCCTTGGGCCCTTGTGTTCACTCGCGCTCCGAGCGTGACGCGCTATCGTGTCGTGCCAATTCACGCAATATTATTTCACGTTACTCCGATTATGTTTTGCCCATGTCGCCAGTTCTATTAATTCGAAGCCTTCGGGAAGTTAGTTTCTTTTCATATTATCTGGTGTGATACCGGCGCCTTCCGCGCGTTTATTAAATTAGCGTAATTTTCCGTGTTTTCTGGCGTCCGCGTTATCCTTTCTGTGTTATTCAAATTTGACGCCCACGTTATCAACCATCTACTTGCTTTATTAATGGAAGCCCAATTGGCCATTATTATTTTCTCTAAATTGATTACACAATAAATGTTACTCTTTATTTGTTAGCTGATTGAAGTTATGATTTACGTGTCACCCCGCCGGATATCGCGCTGCCCTTCATCAATCCCGCCCCGCTTTTAGGTCGAGTTAGCAATTCCCTCGCACACCGACTTATTTCGTTTTGCGTCTCTCTTCTGGTTCCTCGCGATTTTGCGGACGCGAATATACGCGTCTGGCGCCCAATTTTAAGATTGTTTCGCGGAGTGTCGAAGGTGCGAGAGAATTACCGGAGAGGCCTATCATCCCGCTCTTCTTTATCCTTTTGATCCGGCACACGCCCCGGACCGCTCCGGGAGTGCAAAAAGCCGTGACAATATATATATATATATTATATTGTATTTTATATATATATATATATATATAACGTCTGCGTTTTATTAATATAAATATAAAAAATTTAGTGAATTTTTGAACCATGATAAAATCTGTTGTTATTTTTATCTCTCTCTCTCTCTTTCTCTCTCTCTAACAGCGCCAAGTTTTTTGACAAGAAAAATTCATGTATTTTAATAAAATATTTTTATTTTTTGTACTGTTACCTCTGTAATTCTTTGCGATGCGATTAAATCTTTTAAAATACATATATAAATTTTGTATTTAAATACCTTGTATTCCCTTGTTGGGTTTAAATATTTTAATAAAATATTTGTATTTTGTACTGTTACCTCTGTGTAATTCTTCATGATTCAATTTTTTATTCTAATCGAAGAAAAGCAGTAGTAATATTATACCTCGAAAAAACCTAAGTAACAAGTGGTAGACGTAATCTTTGTATCTCGAAAAATACACTAAGAAAAAAATTGTTAATCTCAAGAAATATTCAATATTTCAATAATTTATTTCGTTTCTTTAATCAAGAATTAATTAATTCAACTAATGTTTAGTTACCTAACTAAAATGTTTAGTTGAACGTATCGGACTAAATATTTCTTGGGATTGACAAATTTTTTTTCTCAGTGTATGTTCTCTGTAATTGGCGCTGTAATTTAAAAAAAGATATCATTTCTTTTTTGTAATTGTAATAATAGATCACTTGAAGCGCGATTCATTTTTTGATAAGGTAACGTAATTTTGTGATGTGTATCACTTGAGTAATAATTTTTTGGAAATAAAAATACTACTGCTTAGGTTTTTTCGAGATTTTTGAAGATACAAAGATTACCACTTGTTACTTAAGTTTTTTCGAGGTATAATACTACTACTTTGTTTTTTTTTCGAGGTGAAGATACTACTGTTTAGGTTTTTTCGAGATTTTTCAAGATACAAAGATTACGTCTACCACTTGTTACTTAGATTTTTTTAAGGTATAATACTACCACTGTTTTTTTTTCGAGGTAACAACATATACACTACTATGCGTGTACTTAGCGCCTTTCTTTACCTTTTTTTTAAAAAAGGTAATTTTGTACAGATATCACGCCTTTTTGTAGTATTACGCATTGTATAAACAGTATGTACAGGGTGTTATTTCGAGGTATAATACTACCACTTTGTTTTTTTCGAGGTAACAACATAAATACATATATACTACTATGCGTGTACTTGGCGCATTTTTTTACTTTTTTTTTTGAAAAAGGTAATTTTGTACGGATATCACGCCTTTTTGTAGTGTTACGCATCTTAATCTTAACAGAAAAAAATTACACCTTATAAAAAAATGTGTCTGAAGTTGTAAATATATATATATACACACATTGCCGGACATTGCTTTTATGTAAAATATGCATGTATATTACGTTGCTTGTATAAATTATTTCTTACCAACTTTTTCCAATATATGATACACAATAAAAATAATTGAAAAGTAATTAGAGATGAATGCATTCGTATTGTTTTATTATAAAAAATAAAATTGCGTTTATGTATTTTATGTATAACCGTATCGTATATAATTATTATATACATATAAGAACATCTTTCCCGGGTATCTTTGAAAAAGTTCGTTATACGAATGAAATTACTCGTGCAAATGTTTCGCAATTTAAAAAAAAAAATATAATGTATCAATGTATGGCATAATATGCTGTTTCCCAAAACACCGAATCTCTTATTTAAACAATTTTTTCATAAAACTCACTTACTGGTTGGTCTTAAATTAACCCACTACTAGAATATAATATAAGTGCAGAAAATTTAAATTTTTACTAGAATTTTATCTAAACATTCGATAAAAATTTACCCCTTTAATGTTTATTTCATTGCTGTCATCTGAAATTCTATAATGCCTATTCATGCCTATTTTATTTACAACGTAATACATTATATAACATACAAATCGTCAGTTTTCAACGTATCTATCCTCTTATTTATAAAATCCAACGTAGACAAGTCCCACTCTTTATACCGTTTAATCAATTCTTTTAAACCATCATGCGGTCTGCCTTTGGCGATGTCATTACAGAGTTCTTGAACAGTTAAAATAGACTTCTCGGATTTCCTTGAACTTGTAAGTTGTTCCAGACAGTTAAACAGATCCTCATTTGTCACCAAAAATTCATTCCGTTTCATGAATTTTATAAAGTAGTGGCACTCCATAACAATAGTATTTTGTAGTGAGATCGTCGGGTTTTCATTATCGTTGATGTTCTCCCCGGCCATGAATTCGAAAAAAGTTAATGTTCTTGATGTGTTTCAGAAGTAGAGTCTCCAGTTGCTGGTCAAATCGTATTACAATAAATTTTATTTTGTTGGCAGGAATCAAGTGATAATAAATCATTTGTTCATCACAGTTGCCGTATGTAAGCGGGAACAGTTTCGCTAGATAATGGTTTTCTGAGTAACTTTTAATTTTACTGTGCATGCACTTTCTGATACAGTGAAACAAGTTTTTCACTATAATACCATGTCGTACGTTCTTCTGCTTGATAGATAATTTATGGGAAGTAACAAACTCATTATTAAAACTGACGAGCCAGTCACACAACATTTCAAAATACATTGTTAATCGATTAATGCGTTTAATCACATTTTCTGACACAGTGCCTAAATGCAACCACACACATTTATAGTTAGTATATTTTGTAAATTAGAAGGTAATATAAGCGTCTGGTTCGTGAGTTTTTCAATTTGCTGCCTAATATGTATTTAATCGTTATTTCCAAGATCTCGATGCACAGGTCCAAAGGCATATTGCAGCACAAGCGATTCAACCAGTAAGTTCTCATAATTCGAGCACCATATTATCTATATATAAATGAATTATATTAGAAATAATAATAATACATAACTTATAATTAATAATATAATGTATATATGTATAAAATTCTGTTCAATTGTATTAGCTGAATATACTTTAGGGGTTCCGTTTTGCTGAGCTCGATTATGCCTATTATAAGAAGCATCATAAGAATGCCTATTTCTGGCCTCGGGCTCGAGGTGATTAAAGTTTTTGTTACTACCGAAATTCTTTCCCTCAGTCTGGATTCTGGTATCGTTACCGCTATCACTGGCGTTTACGTTACTTGTACGCGACTGAGCAAACGTATTTCTGTCAATCAATCGGCTGAGAAGACTTCTGATACGTTTCTCTGCCTCCGTTGTGTTGATACTAATATTGAGGTTCCTGGTTACGTTGAAATCGCGGCGGTTTGTTCTGCGGTGCATGAGTAGCACAGTTATATTGCGAGTACATGGCAGAGTTACTGTTATTATTTGTTTGCTTACTATTTCTATGGTCCTCTGAATATCTCGGAGGTGGTTGATAACCACCACGACCACCTTTTTGATTCCTATTAAGAGAGATCAATTAAGAGTCATTACAATACTTCATTAAATATTTTACGATTTTGCTTGGTAAGATAGTTATAGATTGGTATATATATATATATATATATATATATATATATATCAAATATATTAGTAATATATTAGATAATATATTAAGATACGTACCGTCCACCTCTTCCACTTTGTACATCAAATCCTCTTGATTCAAAACGATCTTGATTACTTTCATTATTTTGTATGTAGCTGTTTTGAGACAAATTAATTGTTTCGACGCTCTCAGGTTGTACAGGTAATTTATCCTCGAAAAAGTCGAATAAGGATATTTTTCCGCTGCTTGGTTTACTGTCCTCGGTTTTTTTTCCCGTTTGCCACGCGGCTCTCGTGGTTCACGAGATTCCTCGGCGTTACTGCAATAAAATTATAATTCAATTAATAATTGACGATAAGTGTATGAAAAAGAAAAATAATAATAAATTCTCTTACTTATATCTGCTGTCGGTCTTTTGCAGGCTTCTCAGTGCTTTATCCACGTTATTTCTATAAAACAAATTATTAGAAAAGACATTGTGTAAAAAGCGACACAAGGCAGTAAGTAACGCAATCTAATCTAATACACTTACCTTAAAGCCGATATATGTTCAACTTCTAAGGCTTGAAAATTATTCTTTCCATCTGTCAACGATAATTTTAACATCCGCGGAACTGATCTCGATTCTTCGTTTCCTTTGAGCGTAGCTACATTACGTATCTTTTGTATTTGCAACACAATGTTGCCCTGACCAATATCTCCATTCCCGCTGCCAATCTCTCTCAAGTCGAGCTGTAAATAATATATGTAAATAATATAATACAAATTTGTTCTCATAATAATAAGTAACAGTAATATATAAATATAAATAACAGTAATTAAAAAAAAATTATTAAAATAGTGTTTTTTATATTAACGAAGTATATCTTACAATTAGAATCTCCCGGGTCTCTTTCGTCCAGTAAAGGAGTCATCTCTAACTTCTTTTCCTTGCCGGCGCCGCCTTTCTTTCTTCTCTAAAATCCAGTCCCTACTTTTCTTCAATGATTTACCCTTGGCTTTCTTTATGTAGTCCCTATGTATAAAAAAAATTATCACAATTTTTGGAAGGTAAAATAGAGAAATAATAGATATAACGGACAACGAAAGGATCAAACCTTCTTGAATTAGCGACGGTTTATCTATCTTCATTCTCTACCTACGCCTAGTGCCTTTGGAAGCGGAGCAGCTCCTCCGGTCATTAAAACCAAGACCATTTTCTTTGCTTTTGCGCTACTCGGAAAATCGACAACCACACCGCCATAAAAGCCAGCTTTTGTGGCTTGTGCCGTGATTAATTCAACCTGTTCACCGTTCTCTGGATAGAATTGTAACACTGCTCTTGCGCTTCTTGACAGGCATGCATACAACGTTGAGAAGAAACGATATAAACGTTTTGTAGGATTGTGCAAAGTTTTGCTTGCATAGCACAACCACTGAAGCGCAGAAATACTGACAGCCCCATCAAACGTACCAGCTTTAAATGGCAATCCTTGACCTATATCTCCCAAAATTAAGTCACCATCTAATTCTCTTTCATCACAGCTACGTCTAAAAATAATGTAATGTGTTAATATGATTATATATCATCTTTCACGCATTACATACAGCGTTACTAGCAACGTGCACAACTTCATTTGAGGTTATAATTGGGTACAACATTCATCGCACGATACTGTTATACGTGCAAATCGGAAACGTACCTCGAGTCCAGCTCTTCTGCGATCAACGAAGTCGGGATCAAACGTGTCAGTCGTCACTTTCTGCCAAGCGTAGAGAACCTTCTGTTCCGGCAGCGGTGCAATGGTAACACGATGTAGGGATACGAAATCTCCAGATAAAAGCACGAAGCAATTCAAATTCAGTATATCGCCGGCACGATTATACGGTGTTACTGCCGTTTCGCGTACGCGCGTGCGGCTCGTGCAAACGTTATTAACGCGCGGCCGCAATCGCGCGGCAGAAACGCCTCGTGTGAACAGGCTCCTTGATCTCAGTATCCTCAGCTCCCTGAAGTCAATATAAAAATAAAAAATAATATAGGTCATTAACCTGTATGTATAAACACTCACGTAAACGTAGTAAACAGTAAATAGGTTATTAACCTGTATGTATAAACACTCACGTAAACGTAATAATAAACAGTAAATAAAATAAGTATAATAGTAATTAATCGTCGCGTCGTGTAAAGAGTCACGGTCGGTCTCGCTCCGCGCGTACTTCGTACTTACCGTGTCTCTCGAGTGCTCTCGAGATAGGTTAACTGATGAATAGAAACCAGAGAGAAACCTGAGAGCGGCCACCGGGATCATTCCGTTCCAGCGGACGTATACTGACGCGCTGCCTGAGAAAGTGGACGTCAACTACGTCGTTACGCTCGGTAACGGTACACACATGGTTCGTGTCCGTACTATGGTTCGTGTCCGAACTACTCAGATGGAGGGGATATGCCAGACGGCTGACTCGGTGACCGTGCTCGGCACTCGGCAAGCTTCGAGCGGGGAGAGAAGGGCAGACATACGATCTGCTGTCTCCTTCTCGCTTGAGCTGTGACGTAGCTGCTTAGCACGCGCCGGCTATGCCACAATGCCATGCATTTCGGGTATCGCTCCTCGCGTCTCGCCGAATGCCGAGTCTCGCGTTGGCAAATCGACGATGCGCTATACTAGGCCTGTCTAACTGCTCGAAGCGAAGGAGCCACTGCTCCCACTCTTACCACTTCAGACTTCCCCCACCATCCAGTAGTATCGGGGCAGCGGTTTCTCGCAGCATGAGTAGAAGTAGAATAGCTATATTCGATGGCTTTATGCGTAACTAAGAATACGCATACAGAGCACAAGTGCGTGTCATATTCTTATTTACGCATAAAGCAATATAACTGAGTATGGTATTGATGGTGATATCTCGGTATATATATGCGATTTTTTCAGAATATAATATATCAGGCCTGTCTAACCTGCGGCCCGCGGGCCACTCGTGGCTCTTTCCCCCGCCACGGAGCTCGAGCTCGACTCCCCCCACTCTTCCAGTTGGTTTCCTGACTCTTTCCATATTTGACACGTATTCCTAGTTCTAGCGGATATAGCATCTAGCATCTTAGCTTGCTTATGAGCTTACTGTTCCCACGTTACGACGTGTATGCACAGTACAACTTAAAGGCTTAAACCATATTATTAAAACTGAATAATATTTCAATAAGTTATTTATTGATCGGCCTGACTGGCAATAATTGATTAATGTTAAACGACGTTTTGATCTCTAATTTGGGTCTCCTTATCAAATTACATTTAATGCTGGAACAAAATAAATTGCCGGTAACAAATATAAAATGGAAACAATAATGCAAATTACATATTCAACTTACATGGATCATTATGCGTCAAAAGTTATAAATTACTAGTCATCGTTAAAACTTGTGTAACGGGGCGATAGAACAAAGGAATGTAAACTCATACACTTTTTGTTTTATTCGTTGACTGCGCTTGACTAAAGGTCAATCCAGACAAACTTGCATAGCGCATAAACATAAGCATAAAAGAATTGATTGGTCCATACGCATGTGCATAAGGAAATAGACCAATCCGTTTCGTTATGCGCATGGTTATGCACCTATGCAAGTTTGTGTGGATATAGCTTTACAGAGTTTATTGTGGAATTTATTTTTAATTTACACTTTTTGTTTTACTCGTTGACTGCACCTATTTGGCTCATAGTTTTTATTTTCTATTTACACTTTTGGTTCACGCGTTACCTGCTCCGATTTGATTCATTTTTATGTATTATTGTCGTGAATTTAGACTGCGCCTGATTGAATTATGTAGATCAACTTCGTCGAATTTTATGTATTATCTTCGGGACCATCATGTATTTTCTTTACGCTGAAGATGACACAAAAAAGTGTCGAAACGTCCGTTTTTATTATAATATATTTATTGTTACGATAATTTGATTGCGCATTAATTACCGCGTTTGGTTCCTATTGCCTCCTTATTTCCTTTACTTATTGATTTATTCAGGAAAGCCTACTTTTATTTAATTTATATTATATATTATATTCTGAAAAAATCGCATATATATACCGAGATATCACCATCAATACCATACTCAGTTATATTGCTTTATGCGTAAATAAGAATATGACACGCACTTGTGCTCTGTATGCGTATTCTTAGTTACGCATAAAGCCATCGAATATAGCTATTCTACTTCTACTCATGCTGCGAGAAACCGCCCAAGCAGCATTTTGACGTCCGCCCGACGTTAAGATAAACACACTTAACGTTGGTATCCAACGTTTTCGCTACGTCGTTTCAACCCTCTTTTGCACTAATTTGGGGAATCAAATTTAGGTTGTACCAACGTTGGAATCCGACTTATATAAGTTAAATTGAGGTTACATTTTTTCCACCAGTTTTAACGTTGGTATGTAAACTTTGATTTTGTACACTCTGCTAGACCTGAGATTATTTTTTCACAACGTACATTTTAGGTGTAGTTTTCGTGCTTCCATTCAAACCATATGACGGCATTGGTGTAATAAATGTATCATAATACGTACTTATCAATTTGGCACAAATAAAATGGCTTTATAAGAAAAATATAGTTTTCGCAGTCTTTGATACTATTGTAATTTTGCCATAAATACACAAACCCA